TCTGGATTTTAGTATGTGTTTCTTGCTTGATATTGTTTGCATTGGTTGTAGTTACATCTTATCTAGGTCATTATCCCTCATTATTTCTGGATAATATTTGATAACCATTCCTTTGTATATAGTCTTGTATTAGTTTAGAACCTTCTTATTTAGACAAAAAGGGGGAGATGTAGTGGGTAGCCATTCCAGCTTGGATCTAGAAGTTCCAACCCCCATTGAGACTCTGGCAACTGTCATGTCTACGAGGCAGGGCCAGGGGAGGCGCCTGGAGACCCGAGAGCTGGATGGGCCAGCGCTCTCTCTGTGTGCTCTCTCTGTGCCAGGATGCTAAACGGTGAAGGTGGACTGTGCAGAGCTCCGGAGAACACCGCTGGATTGCGATACACCTTCCCCAGACCCTGCGATCTACCTTTCACTTAATTTGTGAGTTACACCATTAAATAAATACCCTTTTAACTACGTGGAGTGGCCAAAATAATTTCTCCAATACCTGACTGTAACTAAAATACTGTCTCAAGAGTTCTTAGGCTTTATCTTCCAAGTGATTAAGATCTCTGAGGATGTTGACTTGAGAGACTAGGAGTTAAACAGACCCCCCTGGTAGGCAGACAGACAGGGATAGGAGCCATGGCCAGGTAATAAAGGTGGTGAATTTCCAAGATGGCTGTCTTCCTCATTCTCCTGACTTGAGACTGTTGTGCCCTGGGCGTGAGACCCCCCCCCCCAAGAGACCACCAGAGACACGAACTCATCGAAATGCAAAAGCAGGGTTTATTGAAGCAGTTCAAGCCGCGGCAGGGCCCTCATCAAGCCATCCAACACAGTAGAGGCTGGAGGAGGTGCCCGCCCCTCTGCAAGCTCAGGTTTTAAAGGCAAAAACCACAAGGTTACATCATTTAGGGGTGCTAGTACGGGTACAGTTCTGATTGGCTCAAGTTTTAGGGGCTTTTCAGAATTTCTGTGTTATCTTACTTTGTAGTTTTAACCGGTTGTTTGTCAAACTTTATAGACTACCTCCGGCATTGGGGCATTCTGTGGTTAATCAATTGTTACCAGATAGTCCTTCAAACATCCTGACTTTGTACTTCGACCATCTCCAGCACTGGGGCATTCTATGGTTAATCAGTTGCTACCAGATGGCTCTTCATGCATCCTGACTTTGTCCTGGGATCTATGTTAGAAGTTCTGAGAATTTTGAAACTCAGGCCTGTTTCAAGCTGGAGTGAGGGGCTTGCATGAAATGGAGGTGCTTTGGTTCTTCAGAGACAAAAGCCTGATAGCTTAAAACAAAGGCTATGTGGACTTCTGGCTCCCACTAGCCGGCCCCCTGCTGATGTATTGGCTCAACCAGTTCAAGGCTGGACCAAGACATGACACATAACAGTTCTGGGCCAGTTAGCCATCCTAGCTTTCTTCAAACTGACCAACCCTAAATTAGGGGGAGGGGAGAGCTCTACAGAGGCTTCAAAACCCCCAGCCCTCGGGAAGAAATTGGGGTTTATACCTTCCTGAATTCCCCTCTGCAGAGTGTGAGGACGTGACAGCCAGCCCTAACCTGATGGTGGTGAGTTTTTGCCTGCCCAGAAATGAATTGCTCTATCCTGGTCATTAGAGTGCTCAGCCCTGACTAATAATTTACCCAGGTCCCCTGTGATGACTAAAGAGACAGGCATCTCTTAAGGGCTGTTGACCCTTTGCTCTGGAATACCTGGGAGATCCTAGCGGCCTGCGGGTGAGAGAAAATAACAGGCTGTGAGGCATGAGCTGTCTTTGCTTCTGTAAGATGTGCTCATTGCTATGGGAAAGGGATGAAATGGTCTTTTTATTTCTATATAGCGGGAAAATAAGAAACAGCTGAGGGAGTAGAACAGTTGTCCTGCCCGGCTGTGGGTTCCAGGGACAGTTGTAATACACACCTTTCTGGTGTCCCCTTAAATCCCCATCTTACACCCCACTTCTCACGGCATGTTGTTTGGCTGTAAGGCTGCTGTCCTTCTGCCAACAGTAAGAATAAATTCATTTCATCTAAATCTGAACTGAGGCTGTCTCTGGTTTCTCCCAGTGAATTCGAACGCCACAATACAGAGGGTCTTTTTCTCTGTGCTGCATGTGTGCGGTGTGTGTGTGTGTGTGTTTCCTCATGCCCAAGAAATGCCTTTCATGATCTGCTGATTGAGTCTGTGGTGCTTGGGGTTTCTCTCTGCCCTTTGTTGCCCTCCAGATCTCCCCTTTAATTCTTTGACTGACAGAGAAGATGAATCCAATCAAGCCCCCCAGACTGTATTAGATAGGCTTTTAGTCAAACAGTTACGAGTTGACTTTAAAACACGGCAATTTAACACTGGGTTTCTTGTCACTGTTGTTTTGCTTTGAACAGAATCCGCATCATTTGAATGTCTGTGTAGGCTGCAGTCTGTTCATAACAGCTCTGTTGAAGGAGGACTGCCACACGTGTGGGATGTGCTGGCACATCAGGTGCACTGTGCGAGCGTGTGTGAGCTTGTGATGTGTAGCAGTTTCCTCCAAGATTAAACATTCCAGCCTGCAGGAAGCTCCTTAAGCAGGAAGGTCAACAACTCCAACTAGCTTCAGGAAGTCCCTGAAACTGACCAGATTCACTAGCCCCCGCACCCAGAGTAAGCAATAAAAGCAGAGAGGCGTGTCGTCCGTCTGTCAGTCCCCGCCTCCCCCACCGCCCACCTCAGACAAAAGGAAGCTGAGCTGCAAAGACAACTCCGAGACAGATCAGCTGCCCATCCCAGCTGCCTGGAAGAGGTTTAGACCAGAGGTTTTCCAGAATCACTTGGAAAGAACACTCTCCAATCCGTTGAGCCACCTGCAGGCTTCCAAGTGTGCCCCTTGGTTCCCAGCTTTGTGAGCTGTCACCTGTACTGGGGTGGACTTTGGTGATGCCGCTGTTTTCTGGTCCTGTAAGTGATTCCTCACCCACCCTACTAAAAGTAATCCCAATAAAACTCACTGGTTCACCAGGTTGGACTTCGGTGGTACCCATACTTTGGTCTGACCCTATCCATCCTATCTGGTGTGTTGCCTGTTCCCTGGGAAAGTCTTGTCCCACAACAGCATAGGCCTTCCACTTTAAGAGGCTGGTCACTGACAGATCATATGTAGCCACACCCTCCTGCACCTTGGCCCCTAGGACGAAGTTCCTGCTGAGAACACACAGATCTCTACTGGCTGAGAAGTGGTGGAGAAACAAATCCAGTCCCCAAAAGATATAAAAAAAAAAAATCAGAATATATCCCTTTGATGAGGGTATCTTGGAAAACCTTTCACCCCAAACATCTTGCCTTTGTGGATTTCTGCCATATTTTTACTTCAGGCTGCCTCTCACGATGCCTGTATACACACACACACACACACACACACACACACACACACACACAGGGTAGGGGGTGGTGAATTTATTAGAATGGCTCACAGGCTGTGGTCCAGTTAATCCGACAATGGTTGTCTCCCAACGGAAGTCTAAAAACCGAGTAGTTGCTCAGTCCAGAAGGCTGGCTGTCTCAACTGGGCTCCAGTATTCACCACGATCCCGAAGAAGTCGGCTCTAATGCCAGTGCAGGAATGGACTTGCCAGCGAGAGCAAGCAGGCAAAGAACGCAAGCTTCCTTGTCCCGTGTCCTTATATAGGCTGCCAGCAGAAGGTGTGGCCCGGATCGAAGGTGGATCTTCCTACCTCGAAAGATCGGGGTTAAAAGTGTATCACCCCACTTCAGAAGATCAGGATTAAAAGTGGGTCTTCCCACTTCAAACGATTAATTAAGAAAAAAATCCCTCACAGGTGTCCCCAGCTGTTGGGTTAATTTAGTTCATTTTAGATGTAGTCAAGTTGACAACCAGGAGTAGCCATCACAGCCGCAAAGCACTCGCTCACTAAAGCCCCTTTCTGAAGGGTGGCTGGTGTGAGCTTCCTTCACCACCACACCTGCCGCTCTCTTCATACCGTGATGGGGCTGGCGTGGCCACCGTGATCACGCTGTCATCAGGAATGTGAGTGGCCAGAATGAGTTTGAAATTTCCTTTTTCTTTCCCAGTTTTTTGTTTTTCGAGACAGGGTTTCTCTGTGTAGCTCTGGCAGTCCTGGATCTCACTCTGTAGACCAGGCTAGCCTCGATCCCACAGAGATCCGCCTGACTCTGCCTCCCGAGTGCTGGGATTAAAGGTGCGTCCCACCACTGCCAGTCTCTCTTTCCCAGTTATTATTATTATTATTATTATTATTATTATTATTATTTATTAATTATTATCTCATCAGTGTGGGCCGTGAGATGCCGAGAGAGTGGCCCCTCGGGTACCTGACTCTTGAAGCTTGCAGTGGGTATGGATGACTGTGTGAAGAGTCTTTTGTGTGCTTGGTACGTTATCTGCCCATTGGAGAGCTGGGACAGCGGCAGGTTGGATTTGTTCCTTGTTGCTTCAGAACCCCCAGCTGGGGGCTAGTCCTCTTCCGGGTCTCCACAGGGTCAAGCCTTGGGTTTGTCCTCTGCAGTTGTGCCCAGGCTGGTACCCCCAGCATGGAGGGGAGGGGACAACCCCCTCCCTTGCTCTATGGTGGTGTCTTAGTCAATGTTCTATTGCTGTGAAGAGACACCATGACCCCGGCAACTCATAAAAGGAAGCATTTCATTGGGCTTTGCTTACTTTTCTGGGGGTAGTCCATTGTTATCATGGCAGGGAGGATGAGGGCATCATGAGGGCAGGAAGGCAGCCATGGTCCTGGTAAAGTTGTTGAGAGTTTCACATATGGATCCACAGGCAGCAGGAAGAGACTGGAGGTCTCTTGGCATGGACTTTTAAATCCTCCAACGCTCACCCCTAGTGGCACACTTCCTCCAACAAGGCCACACCTTTCTTTCAGTCCTTTCAAATAGTGCCACTCCCTGGTGACTAAGCATTCAAATGTGGGAGCCTGTGGGAGCCAATCCTATTCAAACCCCCAACTGTCTGCAGATGGCATTGGCCAGTTCGGTCTTGCAGCTGCCTGGAGGAACTGGGGGAGAAGACCAGGAAATTCCATTCAGTGCTGGTGTTTTCTCTGTGACTTGAGGTCTCTGCTGCCCCCTCCATCCTCATCTTCCATCTGGACACAGGGCTTTCTTGACTCCAATCTTGCTTCTTTTGGGCAACTTCTGCATCCACATCATCGCCGTGCTTTCCAAAGGTTGTCACCACCCAGCAGAGAAAGCCCCTGCAGCCAGCTGGCCATACTCTGCCTTGGGCCCCATAGTCCCCACCATGTATATACTGCTGAGGCTGCTGAGGCTCCATCCCAGCCTGGGACGCTCCTCTTTGGCCACTCCCCATTTCCCTGAGGAAATCCATGGCACCGGTTCGTGGTCAAGCGGTATCAGCT